GCCCCGCCACCATGGCTTTGTCCAGAAGAACGTCCGGAAGGTCTCCTGGAAGGTCTCCCAGTCTAATTAGCATATTACCCTTTTATTAGTATAGATATGTACACATCTCTTGGATCTGGGATTGGTGAAATAATCTTAACAGAAGGCATTAATTAAAATAAGTCCTGTCTGTGATTTAATAATTTTATAAATGCTTAAAGAGAGTTATTTTAATGCATATTGTAATAAATATATCAAGTATTGTTTCCAAGCACTGTCATTATAATTAGAAGTGAAGGATTGCTTTTTCATTGTCACAAATTGTGTGTGTGTGTGTGTGTGTGTTATTTTTAAAGTAGACTACACATATAAAAGTAGGATGTTGCATACACTAAAGTTCTGTCTATGGTTATCTCTGACTAGTAGGGTTGGGACAATGTTTTCTTTTTTCTTTCCGTTTTCTGCATTTTCCAAATGTTCTTCAAAGAACCACAGAATATTTTTTGTGATAAAAAAATGTTTTAACCTTGGCCTGTGTGGCTTGTTTGGTTGTGCATCATCCCTGGCACCAAAAAGTTGCCGGTTTGGTTCCGTCAGGGCACATGCTCAGGTTTTGGGCTTGTTGCCTGGTAGGGGGCATACAGGAGGCAGATGATCGATGTTTCTATCTCTCCCTTCCTCTCTTTCTAAAAATCAATAAAAATATTCAAGAAAAAAAAGAAAAAATGGTTTAAATGGCAATTTTTTAAAAATCTTTTTTCCATGAAACTGTATCTGGAAATATTAAAATCATTTTTTTTGTTGTTTCTTAAAAGTCCATATTTCTTTTGCATTTCTGAGTAATTTAGGTTATACACAAGTTTGCTTTCATACACATTTACACTATCATATGTTTTCCATGTACTTTCTACTTTTCTGTTAGTTGATATTTTCATGAGCTGTTGAAAGCATTATTTGATTAGTCTTCTCATACTTTTTACTTGTAGGTTGGTGTTTGGAATGCTGTATCCTGCATATTATTCATACAAAGCTGTGAAATCAAAAAATGTGAAGGAATATGTAAGTATAGTTTTATGAGTGATTAATTTTATTTTAATGTATCCATTACATACAAGACTAGAAAAACTCAATATTTTAGAAATGGTTGGCATAATGTTCTGGGTTAAAAATGTGATATAAATGTGGAATACTGAAAATTAGTCTGTTTTTAAACTAATTTTCAGTAGAATTCTAAAGTAGGGTATAAAAAATAGTGCATTGTCAATTGACATTTAAATAAATCTAATTCCCAAATGAATAATTGCATGTCTCTTACTCACGTAGTTTGTAAGTTCCAGTATAATTAAGAGGTTGGGGGATTGTCTGGTTTTTTAGCCTTATAAATTTATAGGTATATTACTAGTATATTTCTTCAGCCTCAAAACCTTTTCCCTCTTTCATAGTTGTTCTGTTACTTTCTAATTGATTTAAAAATGCAGATACCTCATCATTACTGACAATTGTAATCAGCAGTTTGCTTGCTATTTGTATGGACTTAACTATTCTGGATATTTTATATTAATGTGACCTTTTCGTGTCTGGCTTCTTTCACTTAGCCTGTTTTCAAGATTCATCCACATTATAGCATGCATGTATTAGTATTTTATTGCTTTTATGGCTGAATAATATTCCACAGTATGCACATACAACATTGTTTCTCCATTCATCCATTGATGGACATCTGGATTATTTTTACCTTTTGTCTATTATGAATAGTGTCACTATTAAGCTCTTACATTTATATAATTCCCTACCAATTTCAAAATTAACACAGTACTATGGGTCAGAAATCTGAAATGGATCAACAGGGCTACATTCCTCCTGGGGGCTCTAGTGGAAAATCTGTTTACTTACCTTTTCAAGCTTCTACAGGCTGCCCACATTCCTTGGCTTAAGGCTCTTTTCCTCCATCTTCAAAGTGAGAAATGTTGGGCTGAGACCTCACGCTCTGATCTCTCTGGTTCTCTCTTCTGCCTCCCTCTTCCACTTAGGAAGACTCTGGTGATTACAGTGGGCTCACCTGAGTAATCCAAGATCCTCTCCCCAACTCAAGGTCACCTGATTAGCAACCTGAATTCTCCTTTACATGTAACCTATCATATTCACACATTTCAGGGTGGGATGTGGACCTTTTGAGGGAGGGGGATATTATTCTTCAGATCACAGTATCTCATTGGTCCTCACTACAACTCTATAAAGTAGGCAGAAAAATATTCCAATATTATAGGCTCAGAGCAGTGAATTAACTTGCTCAGGGTCACATGGATCATTAAAGAAGGAATGGATATCTTCTGTTTCTAATATTTTATTCTTTCTTTTCTACCATGCTACCTTTAGAAAATTAGGTGAGGATCTAGCTTCACAAAAAAAGTTGAAATAGCTTTCACAGCCAGCCAGTGAATGTGCTTCTGATTAATTCCACAGCAGGTCTTCAGGGGCCACAACTATATGTGTATTTTCTAAGAAGAGCAGTGAGGCAGCTTAACCAGTTCTAGAGCAGGACCCATAAGCAACTAAATGAAATATAATCAAAATGGTAGAAAATGAAATTGGAAGTCTTTGAAAGTTCTGTAAAGTCTTGGCTGTTCTTTAAGTATTTCTAACCTAAATTTATTTCTGACAAAAATTTTCTTGCTGAGTTTCATCTAAACTTAGTTATCCAATGTAACCTTCAATTACAACAGTTTTACCAGCAGTCTGTTCTCAGAAAGTTTTCCTGTATGGTAATCCCCATCCCAATTTGCTTTGTCTGTTCGTTTTTTAGCAAAATTAACCTTCTTAAAATTTTCCCATTTTATTTTTAACAGCCTCTTATACTATCTGTTATTATGTTATTTATTTGGTTTTGTTTGTCTTCCCCACCATAGTTTTGTTAACTGCTATAGTTCCCTAACTAGAACAGTATATGGTAGGCACTCAATATTTTTTGAATGAATGAATAAATAAGAAAAGGAATAAGAGTTGACTTTTAAGTCTATATCAAACACTAAATTGTGTTTACAGGAGCATGTATACGTCTTAAGTAGATTGGTCTAGTTTCTCAGCTTTGCTGCTGGGGTAAGGAGTATATAATCTAGTCCCACTTATCCCAAAGCCCACTTTCTTTGAGGTATTTGGTTATTAACCTAAATTCCACTGATACCTGCTTCAAAATTATTTTCAGAAAGCAACATTTTTTATTAATTTACTTTTTCCCACCGTAACTACTACCATTCCCTGTAAGCCTTCAAATAGTAGATTGCACCTGATAAAACAGATGGCTGTGTTCAAATCAAAACACATGGAAAGTGCTGTATATTTTGGCAACCTTCCTTTCTTCCTTTGCCTATTTTTAAAAGAGAGCTTTCCTAGGATATAATTTCCTGTATAGTGTGGCTGATATGGCCTACTTAAAGTCTTTCAGTCTTGCAGTAATTGAAATGTAAACTTACTGAAGAATTAGTATGGTTTGCAAATTTTTTCAAGCTTATACCATTTCATGACTTGAAAATAGTGTGTTTACTTCCAAGTGGTGTGTAATTGCTGTAGCTTTTCTAGGAAACCAGTGTTTTTATTCTAAGAATGTTGAAGAAAGTGGCAATGAAAAGATTGTCTAACAGCACATAAAAATCAAAATCAGACATTTGGTCCTGAGATTTACTGTGAGCAAGAACAAAGAACAGGGAAAACTCTGTGAGATTAGTCCTTTCAAGGGCTAGAAATGGCCCTCTAAAACTCTGTTGACTTGGGTTTTGAAAGTGACCTAATTTTTGGCTGAGTATTTGGGTGATATGAAAATGAACAAACATACCACATACTGGTTCTTATCAATTGTTAAAATCTGAAGTTGCTTACTAGATTTAGGGTGGAGGAAAAAACACTGAAGAACTTCTCTTTATTGTCAAAAAGTGTTCCTTAGGAATCTTTTCATATTTTGCATTAAAAATATTCATTTGGTTCAAGGATTGTAATAATGTAGGTAGTGTAAAGATTAACCCACTGATTAAAGTGGAATATAAAATTTTTTTTTTTGAAAATTGGTTTTGTCAGGCCACATACTTATCTGTTTATTTTCCATTCTGATATTCGTAGTTTTTATTTTTATTAAGGTTGTATTTCTTTATAATTTTAAAATCAAAAATTTTTCAAGACTTACTATAAAAAACAGCAGTTTCCTACCCTCTCCTCATCTCCAGTGGCAACTACTTTCAACTCTTTTATCTGAATCCTTTAGTGTATGTATTTTCATATCTAATTAACATGCTTATACTTTTGCTATTTTTTAATTTTTCACATGCACATCATCAGTTGCCTTCCTTCTAATAAAGATGACTTAGTAGTTGCTACGTTCTGGTGGGGGCTCTAAGTATTCAATTTATAAACTTTTACTTGGTTCCTATTAGCCCTACTCTACACTGTGCCAGAGATTTGCAAATCCCGAGAATCTTTGATTCACTCTTTCCAGAGACTAAGCCTCAGAGTTGGGCTGCGGGAAAGAGGGGTACCATCAGACAGCTAAAATAGGAGGGCAGTTGTGCCACCAGTTCTTGAGCCTTTTTTGGGAGTTTTGCAGTGAAAGTTAGGATTGCAGTTTTTCCCACTGTTGGCTAATACTCGGTTTTCTCAGGCCTCCTAAGTCACTTCTCATCCATTTCCTTCCTAGCTCCACAAATTTGATGTTCTCTTCTCTTCTATATCCTTCTGAACTTGGGTCTTTTAAAAAGATCCGTTTACTGTTGTTTTAATGAGATTTGTGGTGGGGATGCAATTAAATGTGTATATTCAGTCTACCGTCTTCACCCAGACTTACAAATTGACCTTGTTAGTGGGATACTGTGGTTGAATTATTATGTGATACCAAGTAAGACTTATTTTATCATTAACATTGATTTTAAATGTGCTCACATAAGAGATAGGTTTAATGGTAATTTACATCATTTTTAAATCTTTGACAATAATTTCAAATTTTAATTTTAGCTGACAAACAATGAATACATGTGTATCTTGTCTTGAGTTATAGTTGTTTATAAATCAGGTTTTGATAAAAATCACAATTTTCACTTCGAACAGTAAATGAAATTACTTGGAACAGTTCATTATCCTTTAATGAAGTAAATGTACTTATATTTACCTAAAGTGGTGATGAGTATTCTTTGTAAGCTTAATTTTTGATGTGTCAGATTTACCTATTTTATATGTAATACATATCAATATGTAACTTAGCTGCTGAAATAATTGATAGTGTTGTTATTATCAAGTGAGATACTCTACCTTATGTTTTCTAAACACACTTTCTTCATGGACACCTCAGGATCATTAGTTACATTGGATCCATTTTAGAAAACAAGTGGTAAGCTTGAATAAGGTTGTCGAATTGGGGAGCTTTAAATGAATGCCCAACACAGTTTCTTCTAAAATTTTGGCATGTGAATTAGCGTACCCCTTCACCTTTATGAAGTAAACTGAAAGCATCCTCACAACTTTCATGCCAAGATGTAGCTGACCAACCGCAGCTGTCTTGTCCTTTTCTAGCTTCCAGGGCAAGTACCTTGGAAAACAGACATATAGGAAAAACAATTCTCACGGTAACATTTAAACCTATGAGGCTAAGTGAGGCATTTGCTAATATCTAGGAAAAATTTTACCAACTATCGTGCCAATGGAAATAGATTTTTTAAAAACAGGGACAGAAACCGTTGTTTCCATGAAAGGAAATGTTGTTAAGTAATAAATTGGAGGGAGGCCTAGCCACCTCCACCCTAATCCCTAGTGATGGAACAGCTTAAAATCATAAAAGCTACAGCAACCGAAAAACTCAGCTGCCACCACCCTCCCCGCAGGGAGAACTGTGTGCAGAGGCAGCCAGTGTTCTGCCTCCCCCTAATCTGTTTGGAAATAACCACAAACTCACCACTTTGAAGAAAACCCCCAATAAGTTTCAAAAGGGAGAAATAATAATTGAATACAAGAAAAAATATAAAAGTGCAATACTAGATGAATTAAAAAATTAAAATGGCAGTGATACGTTTAGATTCTTGAAT